TTTTTTATTGAAACATGATTGGGGCCGGCCCAGTGGCGCACTCAGCAGAGTGCGGCGCTCCCGTCGAGGGTTCGGATCCCATATAGAGACCGGTCCGCTCACTGGTTGAGCGTGGTGTGGGCGTGACACTGAGGGTTGCGATCCCGTTACCGGTCACGGGAAAAAAAAAAGAAAAAAAGAAACATAATTGATTGTACATACCTGTGGGATACAGCACTGAATATCAATACCTGCGTGAAACATGTGATGCTCAAATCAGGATAATTGGTATATTCAACACTACACAATGTAATCATGTTTTGTGGCCCTTTACCAATTTCTCACCAATTCCCCCTCCCCCTCCCCCTCTCCCACCTCTGGTAACCACAGTTCTGTTCTCTCCTCTTGAAAGTTCAGTGAATTATTGTGATTGTTTTATCTTTCTTTCTTTTTAGCTCTCACAAGTGAAGATACATGGTATTTCTCTTTCTGTGGCTGGCTTATTTAACTTAACACAATTTTCTCTAAGTTCATCCATGTTGCTGCAAATGGCAGAATTTTTCTTTTTTATGGTAGAGCATTATTCCATTTGTAAAGATTTAGAAAATTTGCAGTCTGGCCATATGGCAAAAGTAAACTTTCCCCATTCTCCTTTTAAAAACAATAAATATTCCCACATTCTTCTTTTAAACCACTGTCAAGTTTTTATATCAGCTCTTTTCCTTCAAAATATGTTTTTCTCCTAATTTTAAAAGTAATATTTTCTTGTTGTAGACATTAAGACAATAAAGTCAATATCTTTCATAATCTTACTGCTCAGAGATACATGTCATGTGTTTAATTTTACAATAAAAACTGAATACTATGTTAACTATTTTCTAACATATTGTTCACATTAATTATACTATAAAGTTTTTTTACTATAATAAAGATCTCTATTTTAAAAAAAAAAAAAAAAGACCAGTAAGGGGATCTTAACCCTTGACTTGGTGTGGTCAGCACCACGCTCTCCCAAGTGAGTGAACTGGCCATCACTATATAGGGATCTGAACCTGTGGCCTTAGTGTTATCAGCACCACACTCTTCCAAGTGAGCCACAGGCTGGCTCGGTAAGAGTATATCCTTTTTTTCCAAAGATTCTTCACATTAATTTTGCAAAAAGCCAGAATCTGGCTACTAAAATAAATGTTCAACTATTAACTCTTTTATAGTGTTCACAGGATCACATACATAATAACTGTTGGATAGTCTGGATGCCAAATAAACACAGTGGGATTTTTAAAAGTATTTAACACATGTATTTTATTAGACTGATATTTTGAACACTCAGATAATGTGATTTTAGTCTGCTCACAGTTCCTCTAACACATACAGTACATTTCAAACAATGGCCAAAGCAGCAATTACATCAACTCACTATAGGAGGCACTATACATCCAGGTAGTACTTTAGTAAATCATAAAACAAATGCACCCAAGAGCACTTCAGGAGAAATTAATTTAATTTAGGATTAATTTCATTTGGGATTAAATTGATCAGTGTTCCAGGCTTGCTATATTCTATACTGGAATCCAATGGTGGATGAGTCATTCTCTTGGAGTTGGAAGAACAGCCCACAATACCAATGAACCATTTCAACCACCTAACAACCAATGGAAGCTGCCAGTGCATCAATCGGTCTCATCCCAAATGCTGAAAACAACACGTGGGCCATCAGTTTGGTTTCTTCACATTGTAAAACATGACTTTTTATTTCTGCTTAAGTCATCCATAAGTGAATTTATCTGATAAACACAAGAAAATGTAACCCAACCAGAATCTCCTGTCACTTTTAACAGACATGGGTATATGAGAACTATTGAGTTGGTAAAGGAAAATACAAAATGCATGCTTGTATTTAACTGTTTAATGATAAACTTCTCCCTTGAAGTATTTTCTTAATATCATATTACTAAGAGTAATATGATTTCTTAATATCATATTTCTAAGTGGACATGGAAATTAAATCCATGTCCACTCTTAGAAAGGAAACTAAATGTCCTGTCTGATATTAAAGAGGCCCATTCATTCTTTGCCAAGATCCTAAAAACAAATCAAATTTCACTTTATTTTATTTAAAGAGGCCCATTCATTCTTTGCCAAGATCCTAAAAACAAATCAAATTTCACTTTATTTTTTTATTTTTTTAATTTTTTTGTCTTTTGTCTTTTTTCCGTGTCCGGCAACGGATTGCAACCCTCAGTGTTGCCCCCGTACCGGACCGGGACCGGCAACGGGATCGCAAGCCTCGGCGTTGCTCCCACGCCTCGCTCAGCCAGTGAGCGGGAGCCGGTCTGCACGTGGGATCCGAACCCTCGGACGGGAGCGCCACCGGGCCGGCCCTCAAATTTCACTTTAAAAAAATAATTTCTAAGAGGTCGGTTCCCCATACTGGCCAGCCACCAAAATAATAATAATAATTAATTTCTATTTTTTAGATTATGAGCTAATAATTCTTTGAAGTAATTTTTTTTTTTTTTTAATGTTGGAACTTGGAGAAAGTTCACATCAGAGAGAATCAAAACTGATCCCTCCAAACTGTATTTTTTTTCCCCAGAAAAATGTGTAAGACTTTGAAGTGCTTAATGGGGGGTGGGGGAGTTTGCTGGTTAGCTCAGCTGGTTAGAATGCAGTGTTAAAACAAATGAACAACTGATAGAGAGCAGCACTGCATTTATTTTTTAATATAGAGGCAACTTAAGAACTCATACTTAGGGGCCGGCCCGTGGCTCACTCGGGAGAGTGCGGTGCTGATAACACCAAGGCCCCAGGTTCGGATCCCATATAGGGATGGCCGGTTCGCTCGCCGGCTGAGCGTGGTGCTGACAACACCAAGCCAAGGGTTAAGATCCCCTTACCGGTCATCTTTTAAAAAAAAAAGAACTCATACTTGCAGGCTGGCCAGTTAGCTCATTTGATATAGTGCAGTGTTCTAACACCAAGGTCAAGAATTCAGCTCCAGGTACCAGCCAACCACCAAAAAATTAAAAATTAAAAAAAAAAAGAATGGTTCAGGGTTTACCATACTCCTAAATGTAGCTTCCACATTTGTTCTGTGCCTTAGTTAGGAGCTCAGAAACAGCAAGGAAGTTTCCCAGCTTTACTAGTCTACTTTGGTTCTTCATCTCTCAGATGTTTTTCCTTCTTCCACCTAACTGTCTTGAACATTTTTGCAAAATATTTATGTAGCCCTTTTTTTCAAAGGACAATTCCTGATTAATAGGCAGGAAAATTCAAGATTTATTTTCTTCCATTCCCCAAAAGGTGAGAAGATGTGAATTTTTTTTTTTTTGTCCTTTTTGAGACCGGCCGCACCGCGCTCAACCAGTGAGCACACTGGCCATCCCTATATAGGATCCGAACCCACGGCGGGAGCGCTGCTGCGCTCCCAGCATGGCACTCTCCCGAGTGCGCCACGGGCTCGGCCCAGAAGATGTGAATATTTATATTGCGCCCTCTTCCTTCTAATAACCTTTAAATAAAGCTTAAAGAAAGAAAAAAAAGTCAACTCTGAAAACCAAGAGTTGAAGGTATATATTACATCAACATTTTCATTTTGTTTTTTTTTGTTGTTGTTGTTCATTTCTACCGAAACATTCCATGTCATTCTTAACACTGAGTATTTTTCTCACAATCTATTATTTTACAGACAAATTACCATGTAGCAATATAGCTTCAGCATGCTGGCTCTGATCCTGGGTTTTCCAGGTAAATTACCCCTCATAAAATATCTCCTACAGCCATTTTTAATCTATTTCCTCATCTGCCAATAACCACTGGTTCTCCCCTGTAAGAAAACTGCCCTCAGTTTATCAAAAGTCCTTAAGACTTTTGATAATTCAACTTAAAGCTAACTGGTAGGTTCAGATCCCCATACCAGCCAGCTGCCAAAAAAGATTTTTAAAAAGCCAACTGGCTGGGCCGGCCCGGTGGCACACTGGAGAGTGTGCTGCTTGGGAGCATGGTGGCGCTCCCGCCGAGGGTTTGGATCCCATGTGGAGACCAGTTCCCGCTCACTGGCTGAGCGCGGTGCGGGCGCAACACCGAGGGTTGCGATCCTGTTGCCAGTCCCGGTATGGGCGTGACACTGGGGGTTGCGATCCCGTTACTGGTCAGTAAAAAAGACAAAAAGGAAAAAAAAAAA